CAGCTGACAAATAAAATGACAGGTTTTGCTTTTTTTTTCCAACTGCAAACTCAGTCTGGGAACTGAAAGCAAAGATGTGAGCTCTCATCACCTCAAGCACTGCCACCCAGCACGTCACCTCGACAAGGCTGCAGTGTGCACGGAACTGGGCATGCTGGGTGTGTGGGGCACATGCCATGATGCCATGGGTGCATGGGCTGCATGTCAGGGGTGTGCAGCATGCTTCGTGTGAGTGTGTAGGGTGCATGCTGTGCACATGCAGGGTGCACCCCACAGGCATTTGGGTGAACTCCATGGTGGGTATGCTGCCAGACCCAGCTCACCGAGGTTATCTGTGACAATTCAGAAGTCACAGGCAGACACGATGCCTGAGACAATGGTCAGACAGTGTGTGCACTTGGCAGTTGGAGGAAACCCCCTCTGCTCTTTCTTTTAACATATCAAACGTGATCCTGTGATTTTATTAAAGGCAGGCATCCAGTTGGACAGGCCAGGCTGACAAGTGGGAGTTACCAGCTGGTCACCTCAGATGGTCACTAGCCCTACACACAGCACTTCCCCATAATCTCCCCCAATCCCCCACTGAGGCAACTGGCTATTCCCACAGGACAGGAGATCACAGCACCCAGGGCAAACAGGCAACAAACAGCCACCTCAGCAGGAGCCAGGTAAAGGGGAAAAGCATGACTGTGGTGCAATGGCATGCAGACTCTGCTGGGGAGCAAAGCCCAAGGGCCAGCTGGTCATCCAGTGCCCTGGAGACCTCCACTCCAGCATGACCTCAGGGCAGTGGTTGCTCAACTGCTGGTGCAGGGCCAGGGCTGATGGGCAGGCCTGAGGTTGCTCCACTGAGGTCAGGGTGACTCAGCATGATTCAGGGGGAAAATGGTGAAAAGGTCTGAAGGAAGAAAGACCCAGCCCACATGTGACAGCATCTACAGGTGCCTGGGACCCCCATGCTGCAAGCTGTGATGGATGCTGGGCTGCACCATCAGAATGCAGGAGGGAAGACAGAGAAACACCTGAAAATCAGGCTGTGGGTGCTGTTTCAAGAGGAGGAAGGTGGCTGCACATGCCCAGAGGTGCCATCCATGAGAAGGGTGGCACTGTCCTGCTCTCTGACCCCTGCCCTACCTTGGAGATGGGGCACCCCGAGGATACTGCACCCATCAGCCCCAGCATTTCTTGACAGCTGCTGCAGATGGCAGAGGAGCCTCCCCAAGGAGCCACTTATAGCACAGCCTTGGCCCACAGCCACACCACAGAGGGCTGCTATCTCTGGGCATCTCATGGGGCACTGCAGAAAGCAGTGCTGGTGGTTTGGCTCTGAAATAAAGTGGTCGTCCATGGGCAGCATCACTCAAAGATGAGTCCCATGCTTGCAAGAGCGTGCCAGGATTGAGCCAGGAAGGGTGCAAACATTGGGACTTTCAGCCACAATGTCCTCACTGACTGTGCTGGCCATAGCCACCACTCTTATACTGACCTAAAGAATGGTTTCTGCTGGACCATGGGGCTTGACCTCCTGCTGTGCATTACAGGGCTGGCACAGGCCGGCTGGAAGATACTTGTAATTAAAGGGGAAGTGAAGTACCTTGCCATGGTCACAGATAAACTGAAAAACTCCTTTGGGACCACCTGGCAGAAGAAACTGATGTTTCTCTCCATGTTGCACATTGAATCTCTCTCCATCAAAGATGGCATTTTAGCAGATTTATTCTGATCTGTGAAGATGACCCTGCCCTTAGTACAACACTACAAGAGTATTGTTGTGTGGAAAACACTCCCCTGTGAGGAAAACCACACGGTAATTCAGAGTGCCTTTCCTAGGAACCTCTTACAGGAAGTTTGACCATGCTTGGGTGGCTGGGTGGGGAGCCAGTCTTGCTTCCTGCCCAGCAGGACTCCTAGGAGCACACTTGCCTTTGTGGACAGTGCTCAGTTAGGGGAGTTCACCAAGGCCACTCTCCATTGAGAGCTTTGCCCAGATGCACTGCAGAAGCTGAACATCTCATGCTGTCAGTTCTGCTCTAAGAGGCAAAGACAAGGCACAAAGAAGCTGCTTGGGCTTGGTGGAAGAAGCTTCTCTGTCTTTCTCCTACCTGATAAACACCCAGACAACCCCTTGACTCATCAGCAGCTACCAGGTTAACCTCCAAAGACAGAAATGGAAAGAGGAAGGAAAAGAACCTGTCCTGAAAGAGATGGGAGGACGGAGAGATGCAAGCTCAAAGTCTGGAGAAAAGCTCTTGCTGTCAGCAGGAGGGGATGGCTTTTCACATCACAGAACTGGAAGCAAAGCCTTTGTCCAGTGGGAGAAAAGAGTCCCTGGATGTGAAGCCTAAAGTTATCAGCTGTGCACACAAGGACTTCTAAGTGAAGATGTATTTGCACAGCTCTAAGATGCCCTGTTTTAGACACATGAACAGTCTCCCTTCCCCTCCTCAATCCCACATCCTCCCAGGCACACGGAAAATCCTCAGAGCTTCGATCTGCAACAAAACCTTGACACAAGCACCTCTGACCTACAGACACAAATCCATTTACTGCTGGGCTGGGAGGCTGGACAAAGAGGAGTGGTGTCTCAGAGCTGGGTGCCAGGGCCACTCTCTGATTCAGCAAAGCCCCTGATAAGAAATGTCATCCTCCATTCAGTAATTTTAGTCCATGAGATAAAAATCTCTATCAGTCTCAAACATATGGCTGGCTGCAGTGCATGCAGCAAAATGAGACGGGTAATTTATTTGCTTGTGCTAAGAGCACTCCCAGACCCAGAAAAGCTGATGCAATGAAATAATAAGTGCCAAATTACACTCTATTCTTCTTTGGAGACCTGGAAGAGGCTCCTGTGAGATACAAGGGGTTCTATCTCTCTCCTTTAAGCATCAAGCCACCAAGAAGACAACAGTCCCTCCTACATGACTGAAGACTGAGCTGCACAGCATTTTCTAAGGTCTGTTCTTCTCATTAAATCCCATTTGTTACACAGGAATTCACAGCCACAGATATGACTGGTGCTCTCTGTGAAGTGCCAGTAGATGCTTCCCAGGGGAAGAAGTAGAGGGGTTAAATGATAGAATTACACAGGACTGAGGGTGAAATCCAATCTCCTGGTCATTGGAGGAGGACCATCAGCCCACCAGGTGCTGTGATGTCCCCTGGCTGAATCCAACTTAGCACCTCTGATTTAGGTGACCTCGGCTAATCCATATAAACACAACACTGGGGCCAGAGGCAGCATGGCTTGGGTTGCTCAGAGTAATGAGCTCCATAACCTGAGCACAACAGGAGCATCTGATCCATAGGGACAAATGGACCTAAAGGACACTCCCAAGAAACACTTAGCACATTTAACCACTGGATTCTGCAAGGATCTCCTGAGAAAAGCGCATTCCCGAAGCACTCTTTCTTATACTCTTTCCTCTCTTAGCTATCACCAAGAGAGATATCAAACTAGATGGTCTCGCTCTTCTACAGCCACTTCTACTCCCTTTCATCTTCAACAGTGTGGCTGCTGTTCAATGTGTATCATACATTTTGTCACCTCACCTTTAAATGGGGGAATTTCAATGCAAGATTAACATCTAAACATCCACTCTGAAACAGAAACTTTGGCTTAACGAACAAATACTTAAATTTGGTTCTTCCAAGGAACTGGGCCAGAGCCAGACTTTGAAAGAGTCCTTCATCTCTCTGATTCAAATCTGCTTTAGAAATGTAGCAGCTACACATTTAGTCATAGATAGTCTCTTCATAGATGTGAAACCATTGTTGCTTCCCAGACAGTGGTACCTTCCCACCACATCTACCCATGTCACTAGCATTTTCACTGGAAAAATCAGCAGTTAAACCAACAGCTGAATGAGTCACAGAGATTAAAAACTTCTGATACAAAGTGATGGTCCTTCCAGCTCAGTGCTGAGACATGAGGGTGAGGGACAGCCAGGAAATCTCTGATCTGAGGAGAAGGAGGAGATTTTCACCTCAGTGGAGTTCAGTTCAGCATTTTTCATCACTGCCAAATTTATTAGGGCATATTGCCATGACAGTATAGGTCCCCACGCACACACTGGCATGGCCTTCATGGTACCATCACACACACCACACATACTCAGAGGGAGAGTCTGATGAACCCTTTCCACCCTCACCACCATCCAGCCTTCAGAGTGCACAGAGTGCACCAAGTGCAGCAGAGGAAAGCTGAATGTCCCCCATGCCCATGGAGCTGTACTGCTAGAACAGACCAAGCCTGGCACCCCTCTATCATCCTGGCCAGCCTTCTCCTCCAAGGAATGCTTCCAGCACTCCAGAGCCCAGGGTCCAACATGGGAGGAGCCATGCACGTTTATGAGGAAAAACATTTGCAGCAGGAAAGAAGCTAAAAACTAAATCAAGCTTCAACTTTCTTTTCCACAACCTATGATTTTCAGTTCTCTGAAGGTAGTAAACTGGAAACAGGTAATTTCACTCTATTTTCTGCCTTTCTCCTCTTGTGGCTTTGGACAAAGCAATATGAAAGCCCATACATTTCAGCTCCCTCTGTATCTCATCAGTTTGGAAAACACATCACTGTCCTGCTCTAGAGCTACAAAGAGTGCAGTGCAAACAGTGTGAGGGACTTGTCATCCTCACTGCCAACAACAGAGCAGCAAGATCCTCAGGCATAAAGCAAAGGCACAAGTGGTCTCCAGAAACAGCACATTTAATATGTGTGTGTGTATGTGTGTGTGTGTGTGAGCAGAGATGCTTGAAAAATTAAGTCTTAGATATGTGGACAACTAAGGCAGTCAAGATTTGCTGATGATTTTCACATGAAGCCTGCTCAAGGCATGGGTGATGCAGGACACAGGAAGTGGCCAGGGAACAGGACAGAGACTGGAGACAGCAGGAGAAACTACTCAATGCATGGACTCATTACTCATCTCACTTCTTGTCTGATGGATATTTCAGTGAGGTATGAAGGAAAGAAAATGTTTTGCATTTGTTTGTTGGTTTTTTACCTTGTTAAAAAGCTTCAGTCCCACTCTGGAGGTCAGGAAGCTGGCTTGTAGCATCACCTCTTCTCCTTCCTCTTGTATCTTCCCCTGGGCACACTCTTCCCAGATAAAATCTGTCTCTAAACCAAGATGTGTATGCCACACTTTTCTCCTTTTGAGCACTCCTTCCAAGAGCAGCAAAGCATTGGTTTTCATTACTTGTGTAAAGCAGCCAACTCCATTCTATCTCCTTGTGTGACACTGGAAATATAAATTTAATTTCCTCTGTCCCCAAAGTCTAGGGGAAGGGTTGCCTGGCAAGTTCAGAAAGTCTTCTGAAATACTGTAATCCAACCCAAATTGCAGCTCATCAGGTTTCATCTTCCAAACAGTGGATAGACCTATAAAGAAAACACAGTTTTAATATCTGGATCAGGACAGATTGACACATCTTCAGGTTTTATACAAGATTTCTATTAGTATCAAGAGAGTGATACTGGTTCACCCATCAAAGGACACCCTGACCTTGCAGTACTGACAAAAGAATATCTTGTTGTTGCCTCAAGATGCAGCCAATGGAAGGTACTAATCTAACTGAGATGAATAAGAGATGTCAAAGAAAAATACAGTTCTATCATTCTTGTTGGATTTAAAGATTTTGTTGGTTTTTTTCTACCATTCTGAATAAGTGGAAAGAAATATAAAAAACTTGAAATTTTGAAAGTTGCTGAATTGAAACTCATTTTGACTTGAAATACTTTGTTTCAGCAGTTGGAAATTTTCCCTTTGGAGTCAAAAACTTTTACATTTTGTATTATAACTTCCATTAGAAACAAAGACTCCTTTCAAATACAAGCCAAAATGGAGTCAGAAAGTTTAGGTGTACTGTCAGTAGCCAACCCTCTCCAAATTTTACTACACTTTCCCCAAAAAGGAGGATTACTGAGGCTGACTGTCTCCTGAGGGTGCATTCAACTGCAACATCACAGGGGATTAGTGACAAAGTAACAGTCAGCTCAAATGCTGACAAAGGAAACTGTAATCAAAGGTACTGTAATCAAATTAAGTGGATTTTAATACACAATACAACACAGTTAGCTTTGCATGTAAATTCTACCCTAAGACAATGTAAGTGTTCAACTGCAGACTGTCACAAACTAGTAAAATGACTACACTGTGTTGATTAATACGAATGCAGACATTGCTCTGCTGGGTATAACACACTGCTCCACTGAGGAGGTAGGAACAACTCCAGAAATCAGATTTAGATTAAATTCTAAGTTTTATCAAAAATAGCCATTTTTTTGTGTGCAGAGAGAAATGGAAACACAGCATTTAGGTACTTTATCTAAACTAAAGACTTTCATGATGTCCAGGAGCTCCTCCACTGGACACTAGCCAGGCACAAGCAACCCAACATAAAGGACCTGAGCAAGAAAGAAGCAGCCTTCATCTGTGTTCAGGGGACATTTGAAAGAGACGGAAAATAAACACAATGGAGATGTCCACAAGGTTTCTTTGGGTGGGAAGAGCTGCAGAAGAAGAGGCCAGCAGCCCTATCCCATTAGGGAGGACCTGCAAACTAACTCCAACCCAGCAAAAAGAGGATTGCCAGGGTGGGCCAGTGACATAGAAAGTCAGGTTTAGGAGGCAGCTGGGAATAACTTGTAATTTAGCCTCATAAAAGAAGAGCCCACTAATATTAATGGAAGCTTGGTCCTGCCCAGATTTAATGTTCCTAGTTACAGAGACCAACAGTGAAGTGAGGGCCCTGCCCATGGCAGAGGGGTTGGAATAGATGATCTCTACAGCGTCTTCCAGGCCTTTCTATGATATCATTCTATGAGAAGCAGGAAAGTTGGTCTATGCTGCAGAAGAAACGTCTTCCTTGAGTGCAGGATGTGGCACAGGAGGTACAAAGCCACTGATGCTCAAACACACCTTGGCTAGGGAAGCCAAGCAGCGTGGTCCATTGCCAGAAGAAACAAGATCATAGCTGGTGTGGTGGAAGCAAATGGCTCTGCACTGCCTGGGAGCATGGGGGTACAGCTAACAAGGTGGCAACTGGAAACAAGATGGGCCCCAAGCCATGAGGGTGGTAATGCATCCACAGCTCCAGAAATGTGTCTCTGACCATCTCTTGCTGCTTTCTGTGTTCACATGACAAACATTTAGAAGCCATGCTGTCTCTCCTGCTCCAAGATCTGCAGTGCTGTTTCAGCATCTTTACTCTCTGAAGGACCACACATACAAACAAGGTTCTGCAGGCTCCTCTGGGGCTGTGCAATGTCCACCTTCATCCTGTGAATCACCGAGCTGGGCCGCTCTCTGACACGTAACCAAGAGCTCTGGATGGCCCTTCCTTAGCCAGCTCACGGTGCTGTGTCACTCATTAGAGAGAAAGAGGCAAAAATAGGATGAGACGTACACCTTTGGGCCATTCATCTCACAGGCACCTACCACACCAACATCTCCTCGCAGAAGGGCTTTGCCACACCCCAACCACACGTTTCCACCTTCTTTCCCCATTTTAACCTGCATAACCTCCAACATCACCCCATCATCCCTGGAGGGAGGTGACAAACCAGCCTTCACATGGGGAGATGAGATTCTCTTTTCTTCAAAGACCTTGTGGCTGCCATGACCTTTCCACATCAGTAGCTTGCAGTGAGCACCACAAACTGGTCTGCTCTGAAGACGTGCTCTCTGTGACACTGAAAATGAGCCAGCAGTAGAAGTCATTGGGGAAGAGGGAGGAAGAACAGCGTGATGTAAGGAGCTGCTCACCAGATCTGAGTCCATATTGGAAGGGCTGTGACCCAGGGCTTGGAGTGTGCAGCCTAGAAATACTGCACAGCTCAGGGCACTGGGAATTATGGAACATTATCCTCAGGCTGCTGGCAATGTTCCCGTGGGCAGGACACAAGGCTGACACAGTGACATTAAAAGCACAGCTCCCAGTAGTATCCTGGCTGCCCAAAGCCCTGGCATGAGGCAGCTGAGCTGTCCCAAAGCTGACCCTCCCTGGAGGAACAGCACATGCTGACAATCCTGGCACAGGGATTAGCAAGGCAGTGCTGAAGTGCTAAACAGATACAACCAGGGAGACAAACAGCTTCCCACTAATGAGGGGACAGGCAGGAGTATCTCCTCACACAAGGAGAGCTTGTGTGAGCCCTGCTCTCAGCTGAAGTCAGTGTTCAGACAGACAAATGTCTTGGCCACATGGCTGAGTTGCAACAGCACAGGTACACAGTGACCTGTAACCAGGCAAACCTGGGGCACAGTACTTAAAATTACATGCAAGATTACTTCCAAACACCCTGCATGAATGGTAAAAGCAAGAATAATTTGGGTTACAGTCTGGATTGCCTTCCTTTCCCACGCTTCCTCGGCAGCTGGCTGTCCTTGCTTTTGCTGCTAAACTTCCCCCTCCTCCATTTCTGCATTACTCATAAATTAGCATCACACATAGCAGCAGGCAGTAAAACACAGCAGCAGCACTGCTGAAGGCATTGACTTCAACAGTGGCTTAAGCAGATGTGCTAAGGAAACATCTGGATGATATTACCAAAAGGCTTTCTAGGTTCCCCATCAGATCAACACCTCTGTTTCCTCTGAATCATTACACATAAGAAACAACATAGAACCAATAATAAAAACATCTCAGTTGGAAATACACTTAACTCTGTGTCTAGTACCTAGAAATTCACCAGCACTGACCCAAACCCCAATGGGAGCAGCCAGTCCATGACCCCCAGGCAAGAAGCTTCGTGATGAGCTCTACACTACATAGCCAGCAATGACAGGTTTGACTGGCACAGTGCTTGCAGGTTAACCATCTTCACAGGAGAAAACAATCTGTGAAGATCCAAAGAGGTCAAAAAAGCCTGCAGAACTTTGGAGCCAGTGGTAGGCATCGGTCCTGTCCCACCATCCACTAGAGATCTCAGTGTTATTTCCCCCTTGTACACTACTTTCCTTCCTCCAGCTCTGTAAAACACATTCGTAGCAGCTCCCAGTTTTGTAAAGATTTTTGACGTGTGGCTGGTACAGGGAGAAAGGTTGGACTAAAACTCCTTTCAGAATTTAAAAAAAAAAAATAATACATCAAAAAGATTAAAGAGATGTTTGGCATATTAAAGAAAGAGGTGCATGGAAACTTTTTAAAAATACAAGACCTACAGGACTGGCTGAGCTAAGAGGCATAATTAGCCCAAGGTGAGCTCACAAGGCAGCTCCATGGTGCCTGGCTCCACAGACCAGGGATGTCACGTACCAGCAGAGGCTCTGTTATCTTCAGGCCTTGGGCTGGCACAGCTGATGGGAGTGTGAGGTTTCATACCTGTACCCACACTTCAAGAATACTGCTGGAAAAACTGGAGAGAGTTCAGAGGACAACCACAAGAACAAACCTGGGCTTGTAGCGTGGAGCTCAAGGAAGTCAATCAAAGAGAAAGTTAAAAGGCACTTTGCAGCCTGTAGGTACCTGTCAGAAGAGTGCTCTCAGCCTGCCAGACAAAGGCATAACGAGACCAAAGGTTGAAAGTTGAAGTTCAACAGAAAACAAACCAGAAGCAACGATACCATTCTTCTACACTTCAAGTAATTAACAGAGAGAAAAGTCTCCAACTGGCATGGCCAAGGATCTAGTACTGGCAATTTTCAAAATAAGATGGGATGCTTCCACCTTGCTTCTCTTGCTCCCCCAAAAATGTATGCTTGGTTGCATTCACAACTGCTGACTACAGAGTAGAAATTAATTCAAGGAATCTCTGTTATACAGCAGATCGGACTAAACAAGCACAATGTCCTTAAAGCCTAGAAATCCATGAGGAACAAAGAACAAGAGGCTCAGCTACTGGTGGTGTGAAGAACAAGCTGCCCCACTACCAGTGGCTGGGCTTGTACAGCCCCAGACATCCCTGCCCCATCCAAAGGTCCTCTGCATCCCATGACTACCCAGGTGCGGATTCTGAAGAGCAGCAACAGTGCCAGATTCATACCACAAGCAGCAAAACAAAATGCTGTTAAACCAAGAAATCCACTCTGATGTTTCTTCCCAGCTAAAAAAAACCAGGAAAAATCATATGCAGGCAAAAGTGAATTAAAAAAAAATACCCCCACTGACCAGAAACAAAGCATAGCATAAGAAATAAGCATTTTACAGTGAGAACAGTCACTCATTGGAATAACCTGCCCAGGGAGATGGCAGAGTCTCCATCACTGGAGGTCTCAAAGACACAACTGGACAAGGTTGCTGCAATCACCTTGGCTCCCTTTCCCACAAAAGACTGAACCAGACAATTCCTTCCAGTCTGGGCTGGTCTGTGGCTCTACGAAAGGCACACAAAACTTTCCTGACTACAAGCACTCGAGCCAAAGGAATGAAGCTCCCAGT